TTTCATCACCTGACATTGGTCCACAGAACGAAAAGGGCGTAATTGATAAATTTAAATTTTAATGGGCTCTTAAGAACATCAAACTTTAATGTTTTTTATAGAAAGCATTAAAAATTATTGAATAATGCACCAAAAATTTTTACCATATAAATAACAGAAAGCAATGATACTATACATCAATCCTAAGGTTAATTGTGGGCCTAAATAACGATGGAAATAGTTGTCTTTCGTTTTTTGATTTTATTTAAGTTCTTATATAATCTAGATAAATAGGCTTGTTTATTAGACTAAATCCTTTTTAGTAAAAGACACTATAAGAAAAATGGTCATTTCCTAGGGCAAATTATCATTGAAATTGAGCAGAAGCCATCAAGAAAGAGTTATTCATTAGGCTAAGTTTCACTAGACGTAGTTGGATTTATCAGGGTTGGAAAAAATGCTCTAAACTCAACCTAAACCAAAAACCCAGGACCACAACACAACATATAACCAAAAATCCCACAAAAACATCAAATACAATAAACAACCACAAGCACACCACAGCCCAACTATCATCAACACTTACATCTGCTGCTCACCAAATTCTTCATTTAGTCTTGGATCTGCAGCTTCAAGAAGTTTTCCATTTCCATACAGTTCCCAAACCCACTGCACCATATGGACTTGACCTTTTTTGCCATAGGGTTTATTGCTTTCCTCCCACAAGGTAATTCCAAAGCAACAACTCCGCAACTCACATAAATATGCATGTTTATTTTACCTTTTAAAATAGTGCGGTTTCACAAATATGTCAAAGGCATCTTCAAACTAAAAAAAAAAAAAATGATCTTTTTTCAGTATTTTAAATATTCTAATAAAAAAGAAAACAACATTGTAACTGAAATTAATCCAATTTTCAAAGGGAATACATGTCGAAAGTTCATAATCCAATGTAGTGGGTAGCTTGATGTATGCGATGGTTTGTACAAGGTCTGATGTTTCACAAGCAGTAAGTGTGGTGAACAGGTATATGCATGATCCTAGTAAAGGACATTGACAAGCTATGAAATGAATTCTATGGTATATTAGGTGTAGACGGTAAAACTCACTCGGAATGTCATGAGGATGATCCTATGGTGAAGAGCCACTGACAACCTCATAGACCTGTAGACAAAGCGAAGAGTGAACGCAAAGCTCATGGGGGACATTAGTGTGGTGTCGGTCGTAAACACTCTGACGCTCAAGTCAACACGATTGAGGGTATTTTAGTGAGGAATGAGAGCGGCAGGTTACCGAGAGTGGATTGCTAGGGCACGACAATTGTCGTAGAGTGGCTGAAGCACAACTCTATGAGGTCACCGGAGTTTCATCGAACTAGAATTACAACAATGAGAGGCAGAGGTTCTTGGGAGTAAGAACTTAAGAGCAAATGAGAGGTGTTGGGATTGAGTGAATAATGAGAGGGCAAACCTCTGTTTACATAGTGAGCTCAAGGGGGTTGAGTCCTTGTAGGACTCAGAGTTCTCTTAGTATTAGGAGTTTGAGTAAACAGGAAACTCGTAGTACTAATCTATGTAGGACTAGGAGTATTAGTTCATGTAAGACTTAGGAGTCTTTGATGAACTAGGATTCGCATGGGACTTGGAGTCCTAAGGAGTAGGATCTCTTATAGGACTAGGAGTCCTACTTGGCAAAACATCCTCATGAGACTCGAAGTCTTGAGGAGTGAAGAGTCTTCATGGATTTGGACTCTTGAGGAGCTACACTCCTAATCAAACTCAGAGTCGTGAATGGGCATTGGGCCTAACCCTTAGATGATCTTGAAGGATAGTGTGGCCTAGATTGTTTGGGTGGCCCAATTTGTGGAGTGGGCCTTGCATGGGGCCAACTAGAGTTGGGCCTTGGCACGGGGCCGCTATTTGGGCTCTAGAGTATTTGTGAGTTGGACTTTGGCATAAGGCCAATCGGAGTTGGGTTGAGGCACGAAGCCGTAATATGGGACCAATCGGAATTGGGTCGAGGCACGGGGCCATCTATTGATGGTCTTTGAGGAGGAACCAAGTACCACTGGGCCTATGCTAATATGATTTTTTGCCCAAACATTAGGTAATGTAGATATTGGTTTGCAAGCTGTCTGAAATAATTCATTTTATTTGTAGGCTAATTGGCTAGGCTGTGGTTTTCAAATCATTAATTTGCTCATTTATGTTTGATGTTGTTTGGCTTTGTTTATTTATTCTTTTGTTTAGTTGGTTTTGTTAGGAGTTTGTAACACGATAATACATCAAGGGCCCGTTTGGATCGGGTTTAAATTTTTTAACAAGGGTAATATTTGTTAAATTTAGCAGATTACCGTGTTTGGCAATTTTGTAAAAAAATTTACAGGAACAAAAGATGACAAACAGTGCTCAAAGGGGGGTAAATTCCCGGGAATATTTGTACCTCATGGGGGGCTGTTATTAGAACGTTACCGGGTAATCATAATTTATGTCCAATCTTGCCCCTAAACAGTATTTTATGCGGACAAAAATATCCTTTGGTTTATTAATAATTACAAAATAGCCAATTTACATAAACAGACGTATTTGTCCTCAGTTTTTTTATTTCCGGACGAAATTGCCCAGATTTTTATCATTTATTTCAGAAATGCCATGCTAATTTGTGTACCTATATTATCTTAAGATTTTTGCATATTATGACCAACATGCCCTTTAACTTCAATAAAACTACAAGATAAAAGAAATTTTTTTTTCCTAAAACGCACAGGAGGCACGATTTCGTTCTTAGATCTCTACGCTAAACTCGTTCGCTGCCAGTGGAGAAAAATTACTCGATGATCTTGTTCGTCAGTCCGATCGCTATTTCCGGTATGTGGTTTGCCCTCTTTTCTTTGAATGTACCATTATTTGTTTCGATTTCAACCGTAAACACTAACTTTGAAATTTTTCGTCTGTCGTTGGTCCACCATCTCCGCCATTTGCTTCATAAGTGCCTCGCCACCTGTTTTGTTGCTGTGTGCCTATTCTGTTGCTGAGTTTTTTAGGATGTTTTTGTTGTTCTGTTGCTAAGATTTTAGGGTGTTTTTACAATTCTGTTGCTGAGTTTTTAACGATGTTTTTGTTGTTCTGTTGCTAAGATTTTAAAGATGTTTTGGCTGTTCTGTTCCTAAGATTTTAAGGGTGTTTTTACAATTCTGTTCCTCAGTTTTTAACAAAGTTTTTGCTATTCTGTTGGTAAGATTTTAAGGATGTTTTGGTTGTTCTGTTGCTGAGATTTTAAGGTTGTTTTTGCTGAGGTTCTAAGTTGCTGTCTTTTATGCTCTGTTGCTGCTCATTGTTGAGATTCCAAGTTGTTGCTTGATGTATTATACTGTTGAGACTGTAAGTGGCTATCCTTTGCTATTGTGGTATTAAGATTTGAATGACAAAGTACAAATAATGAAGATAATATGCTGCTATTTTGAATTTTATAAATCTAGTATATAGTCTAGTTTACGGGAGCATATTAGTATAAGTGGACTGATATACTTCAGTATTGTCTAGTTTAAGGGAGCATATTAGTATACTGTACTAATCTTGTTAGTGTACTCTAGTTTAAGGTAGCTTATTAGTATAGTGGGGTGTGTCTTGCAATTCTTTACAGTTTATATGTTTGGTACAGGAATACCTTAGTTTATGGGTTATGGAGTGATAGGAATATTGGTCAATTGGATCTCTATGTGTCTATACATGGTGTACGAAATTCTATGAAAGATTTTGAGGTCTAACTTAGTGATCTTCTTTGGTTTCACTGATTTATGTTTGCCATTTTGAGTAAACTAGGTGTGAAGTTAAATGGTTCAGAACAATTAGAGATGGGTCTTGAATTTTTTTTTTTGGGAATATTGCACCTCCAGTGGTGCAATTTTATAACCTATCAATATGTTCAATTTCATCCTGTTCAAACACTGTTGGACTTCATATTTTGTTTTATACATCTCCTATTTGTTTTGATAGTGAAAACCGACTGCTTGAAAAATACTTTGTCACCAAGTAGTAATTATTTGTAATGGAATTAACCCATTCGAAGCTAATCCATTCCCTGCATTTCTATCAAATATTTTATATATCTGTTGAAGCGTCATCATCTTAAGTTTCTCAATGGTGTCAACCTTTTCTTGGTTACCTTTTCATATTTGTTGTGCGTGTGTCCTTTTATGTATCCTTTATATTAATTTAAGATTGAGCTGTATGAGTTGCATTGTTTTCATATATCAAATTACCTTGTATTTTTAGTCCCTTTGAAACCCAACTCAAGAGGTAAACCAATTTGTGCTATGGGTTAAATGGTTAACTTGTTTGGATGTTACACAACCTTAATACATTGTTATGCTATAATTGTTGGCTTTTAATTTAATGCATGAGAGAATGTATCCTATCCAACTTTCTTTTTATCTTCTATTTCAACCCGTTCTATCTGCACTTTCTCTGATATGATAAGGAAAGAAATTACTTAATTTGCTGAAGAGTATCTGTAAAAACATATGCTATCATTTCTGAATGTACCCCTCACAGTCAATTTCGAATTTGTTGTACATGGTTGATTGACTTCATTATGCTTTGACCCATGAATTATGTGAAATAGCTATGGCCCATTTAACAATCAGGTAGAAGATGCACTTGGTTGCCCTTCTAGTCTTCCATTTGGACATGTTGGAAACCATGTACACCATGCTTGTCCTTCTTGGGTTGGCTAATACACTTAATATACGGGGTAGACGTAGGACTGCTATATCATATGCCAGTGAGTCTGCGTCTAGGTTTAAGGTTAGGTCGCTCAATTTACACACAATGCTTTTCCAAAATGATGAGTTATGTTTTGAGAGCTGTAGGATGAATAGGGTTGTATTTCACAAATTATGTAATTTACTTACTATACATGGCAACTTAAAATTAACCCGTCATTCATCCATAGAAAAATTAGTTGGGACCTTTTTTCACATCCTTGCCCATAACCAAAAGACTAAAGTAATGAAACGTCAAATGCGTAGATCCACTGAGACGGTAAGCCGCAATTTTCACTTACTCCTGAACGCCATGTTAAGGTTGCATACCCTGCCGTTTAAAAATCCAGAGGCCATTCCCGAGAACTCAACCGATGAGCGATGGAAATGGTTCAAGGTACAGTGTAATCACTAGGTTTACGATGCACATGTAGTTCAGTACCTTATTAAAATCAGAGTTATTGTTTTCTCTAAAATATTGTTGTTATTCTGTGTTAGAACTGTTTGGGAGCCTCAGATAATACATACATAAAGGCTCACATGCCGGCTGCCGATATACCTAGGTATCGGTCAAGGAAAAGTGAAATCGCAACTAATGTCCTTGGTGTATGCACACCTGACATGCAGTTGATATATGTCCTTGCTGGGTAGGACGGTTCCGCTGTAGATGGTAGAGTTCTTAGGGATGCCATTACTAGGAGAAATGGATTAAAGGTGCCCCAAGGTAATATAACAAAAAAATTGTATTTTTAATGTTAGGGTCTAGCATAATAGTGTACTTAGTAATTGTTATTGACTTGAAATTGTTTATTTTAGGGCATTACTATTTGTGCGATGCTGGATACACTAACGGGGAAGGGTTTTTGGCCCCTTATCGAGGACAACGATATCATTTGAGTAAATGGCGACAAGGTCACTAATCTTTATCACCATAAGAATTTTTCAACATGAAACACTCTTAAGCAAGAAATTGTATTGAGCGATGTTTCGGCATCCTGAAAGCTCGATGGGAAATATTGAAGGACACATCTTACTATCCCGTCAAAACTCAATGTAGAATCATTACTGCATGTTGTCTTTTGCACAATTTCATAAGGTCTGAGTTGCCCATTGACCCGGTTGAAGCGGGCTTCAGGAAGAGGTGAACGATGAAGGGGAAAAGGATGACGAAGGTGAATTGATCAGGCACGTTGAGCCTAGTGCCGCGTGGACTACATTTAGAGACAATTTGGCTGCTGAAATATTCAATACTTGGATGGTTGCGCGGAATGAATGATTGTGCTTCTGTTTAGTTTATGTGTACTATTGTGACTTTTTAAATTTATGTCTTTTCTGATTTGCCATGTATGAATGAACCCAAACACTAGTCTGCCTTTGTTGCGGGACTTGTACATTGACTTACATTATCGTAATGTGCATGCTTGATTGTTAAGTGATCCCGTTCATGTATTATTCTTCCTGATAGACATAAAATTATTCAACTTGCGCATATCAGTTGATCGGACACTGTGTATAAACTAACATTTGTAACCTGATTTTTTTTGTACAATATCACTAATCTGCTTTTTTTTTTTCAGCAATATGGACAGGTCAGCATCGCGGTCCCAGGAATCCGACAGGAGCATTAGCATGCATGACAACCTTGCGCCTATGAAAAGTGGCAGAAAGGGCAGGGCAAAGGCTAAGGGAAGTAAGCGGCAGTGGACAAAAAAGGAGGACGTTGTGTTGGTGGAGTGTTTGTTGGAGCTGAAAGAGCAACCACTTTGGAGAACTGAACGGGGGTTCAAGTGTGGTTACCTAACTGAGGTCGAAAAGATGATGTGGGAAAAGCTTCCTCATTGTGGTCTGAAAGCACAACCACATATCGACTCGAGGTTGAAGATGTTGAGGAGGCAATATAATGCAATCAACGAGATGCTTGAGAAAGGTAGCGGCTTCAGGTGGAATGATGAGGAGAAATGCATTACATGTACCAAGGATGTCTTTGATGACTGGGTCCGGGTAAGTATGCTTCTGTTGGTTTATTTGTGTAAATTTTAAATTCTAAACTGCACGTTTATATGTGCTGATACAGATGTCGCATATCTTATGATGATTAACGTTTTTGTAGATCATCCTTTTGCAAGAGCACTATAACACAAACCGTGGGTGCACTATGATTCCTTTGTCGCAATCTATGGCAAAGACAGGGCCAATGGAGCTGGTGCAGAGACAGCAGCTGATGCTATTGAGGATTTAGATAATGACAGTGCCGAGAACAATGATGAACAGATGGACATCGATGTCGAGGGGCACACCAGTGCCTCGCCCAAGGATGATGTAGTTGATTCTACTTGTCAGGCGGCCGCTGCCAGTCAAAGCACAGTTGCGGTCAGTAGTAAGAGGAGGAAAAAAGATTCTGGAAAAGTAACAGACTGGCACACCACATTGGGCAGGTTTGAGACTACCTTGGATGGGACTCGAGCGGAGCTCAAGGGTATTGCTGACTACTTCAAGAAGGAAACCCAAGAGAAAGACCGTAAAGGGCAGGTGTATTCCATCATTTCTCAATTGGATGGATTCACAGTCATTGAGATGTTGACAACGACCACTGAGATTTGCAAGGAACCTCACAAGATAGATATCTTGTTTGGGTTACCAAAGCACGTGCAGAGAGAATCTGTGAAGATGCAGCTTGGAGCAAGTAATGAGTACCGACCAACATTTGATTTCTAGTTAAGTCTTGTAGAGGGTTTTCTTTTTTGTGCACAGGGTTATTACATATCTAACACAGTGGTTGTATTCTCGTAGTTGTATTTTGCCTATAGTCTAACAGCATACAGGATGATGTCTTTTGTTAATTTTTTGTAAAACCAGGTCTGTCTAGTAATTAGATGGTAATGGTCTATGATTGCAGTTACTACGGGAAGATACAACTCACTAATATGGAATGTAAAAAACTTTATAACTTTGGTACTGAAGTATAAAAGGATGTATACATGTATGTGCATTTAATGTTTGTTGTCTTAGTATGTTGAATGTGGCATTTTCATTCACTTATGGAAACTAACATTTAGGTCCCCAGGAAAGTACGTTGAAGGTATTCTAGAATTTATAAACTATCATTTCAAGAATTTATGTTTTCTTTCCCTCTTTAATGTGCTTTGTTTTATGGGTTGGTTTGCAGGAACGATAGGAGGACCACCACATTGCCCAGTTGTGACGACAGAAAGCACAAAAATTCGTGAACAATGTCAAGAAAGCCACACAGTTTGTACCGATAGCAATGTGAAAGGTATTACGATTGGATAGTTATGGACTCAATTTGTTGTATGGTTGGGAATAATGCTTATTAACGTAGCTCATAATTGATTGATGTGCAGGTGTAGGTGGGACCAGTCATTCCGTACATGAAGAAAATGAGGAGATGCCTTCAGCCTTAAAGGGCAGCAAATGCAAAGGTACCCAGACCTGCAACTCTTAAACTGACTAATGCTTTCAGTTATGAAAGATGTATGGAATGGTTTGCTAATGTACATGAATGATGAACATATGTAGGTGCCACAAATCAACGAAAGGCAAGTAGGCGATTGGCAAACAAAGGAGGGGGGGGCATGTTGAGCAGCAGTATGTTTGACCTCCACATAGGGTACAAAATTGTTTTACAATTGACATGCTTCACGTCATATTTACATAATATGTTTACCTTATATGATGAGACTGCATATGTACTGATCTACAGGAACTTGTGGAGGAGTTTGAAAGTAGACAACTTGCACAATTTCATCACCCTAGACTGCATGTGGTTTTTTATGTACACAGAAGAAGTGTACAAAAGGAACGTGCTAAAGTGGATTCACGAATTGAACATATTCTCAAGGAAATATGTGTTCATTCCTGTAGTCATGTGGTGAGTTTTTCATATTGTGGCTATACGCATTGGTTTTATACTTACCAAATGCGAACATGAGTTGATTTTGGTTGCTTAAGAGTTGACATTGATAATATGCAACAATTATGCTGATAGGGGTCATTGGAGTTTACTGATTTTGTGCAACTTTGGTGGAGATGTAAACTTGGAAATTAAAACTCGATGCATGGTGCTGCTTGATTCACTTGGATCAGAAAACGGAAAGACGCTTCAACCTCTGATTCGAAGGTAAACTTTGATTTTTTCACAATTATTTGCAAGCACATTTTAGCACATGATGAAATTGTATTGTTGGAGATGTGGTACTAGGATGGGTTTCAAATTGTCCAAGCTTAATTATGCAGGTTTGTGAGGGATATTTATGAATCAGGAACAATGCCCCAGCATCAAGCATTGGTTGACAAATTGCCTTTGCTAGTGCCTCGGGTGATAAAACAACATATTGTCTTGGTTGATGGTAATTAGTGGTTGATATGTTCAGTATTTCATGTATTTGTTGTGACCGATAAATGCACTCACCAGGTCCCTCAACAACGGAACCAGATGGATTGCGGATATTTCGTACTGTATTATATAATGAAGTTTGTGGAAGCTGCCCCAGAAGATATTTAAATCAATGACGGGTATCCTTACTTTGTAAGTACTGCAGTCTTTTAATTGATCAGGTTGATTTGTTTAGTCTCTATTCAATTATAATATGTGGGTTATTGTTGTTGATTTTTATTGTCCACATATGACGCATGATTGGTTTACACAAGCTGAATTTATAGCCTTTCGTGACAAACTGTTGTGTGAAGTTCAATAGCATAGCCTGCATTTTATTCATTTATGTATATTTATTGTGTATTGAGTATTTGTAATTAGTTGCGGATGTAAAATGGATTTCATGTAAAAAATGGTGGCGACTATGTTCCCCGTTGCGAAGTGCAAAATTATGTAATATTATTGGTTCACAAGTTTATAGAGCAACATTATTCAGCTTCTAGTTAATTTATTGGAACATTACTTGGATTCAGCATAATGTAAATGCACAGGTACTCCGAAATATGTGATATGACAAATGCATCAATAATTCTCACAATTTTCACACATAGTTTCGGCCCAAGATAAGTGGAAAAAGTTAACAGATTTCCTCAAATATGCAAAATTGTTTCTAAATTCTAGGCATGGTGTAAACCAAAAAAAAAAAGATTATTTTTCTATTGCCTTGAAAAATAAAAATTGACCCAGTTTTAATTGAATTAAAGTAGAAATAAACATGTATGAATTATAATTTATGGTAATACAAAAATCAGAGTTTTAGATAGAGTTTTAAATTCGGAGATGCCAACTATATTTGTTGCAATACCAGGATCAGGTGTTGAATGAATATCCAACTAAAAATACAATAGGTTTTTTCTGGAGTTTCAATAGTTTGTGTAAATTTGTCAATAAATAACTTAACAATAAAATACTTGGCCAAAATACAAGAAAAAATATTTTGTTAATTGATAATTTCTTTTATTAACCAAACATGTTAATTATTTGCACCCAGAAATCATCTAAAGGGCATTTTAGTAAAATGTAATCAAGACATCTGTTGTTACAGCAAACCAAACAGATTAATTAGTAATACAAGCAATCATTGCAAGGGCATTATAGTAAAAGGGTATTTAAGGACATCTGTTATTACTGTCAACTAAGCACATTAATTATTAATACATCCCAATGGAACCAAGCATAATAATAATTTAAACCTGGTAATTTACAAGGTAATCTTTCTTTCCAGTAATCTTATTACTAAGATAAAAAAACATTATATGACCCAAACGCCCCCCAAGTTGTAAATTTCTTTATGTTAATAAGAATATATACTGGATGTAAATCAAGTTGGCCTTTTTATTAAGCACACAAATAGCTAAATAATTGGATCATGAAATAAAATAACGGCATTGTGTCAACTGAATCATTAAAGAAACATCTCTTGAACTTAGTTATGTTAACTAATAATTTTTTTGTGCGAACTATCTATATAAATCTTTTCGAAATAATATAAAATGCAAAAAAAGTTTATATGGCACAACCAATTGGATTTGTTAGTAAAAAAAAATTTCTTCATGTTTGTAAATTACAAAAAGTTCTTTATAGACTCAAGCAAGCTCCTAGAGCTTGGTTTGATAAACTTAAAATTATTTTGATCTGGGGATTTTTGCATTTTATGTCAGATTGATCAAAGCCCCTACTACATGACAGAAACAATTCAACAAGTACCCTACTACATAGATAGCAATGAACTTTACAATATATTTACAAAACAATACTCCAACATTAGACGCCCATTTTGAACACAAAAATCAGGCGATATTTAGAGCGAGCACAAGACAATG